GGGGCGGCCACGTCGAGGCGGATCTGCGGGCGGCGGGGAGCTCTCTGCCTCCCGCCGGCCTCGCTTCCCTTGGGGCTCGACGGCGCAAAGGGGAGAACTGGGCAGGTCGGGTCCCAGGGCAGCCGCCGCGATGCCTCGGGTTCTCTCTCTTCTCTGGCGAGGCCCTGAGCCAAACGGAGGCTCGGGTGGAGACGTCGAGTAGATGTGGAGGAAATGTCATGGAGGAAACGTCGTGAAGGAAATGTTGAGGAGATGTGGAAGAAACGTAATGGAGGAGATGTGGAAGAAACGTAATAATGTGGAAGAAACGTAATGGAGGAGATGTGGAAGAAACGTAATGGAGGAGATGTGGAAGAAACGTCGTAGAGGACATGTTGAGGAGGATATGTGGAAGAAACGTGGAGGAGGAAAGGTGGAGGAAACGTCGTGGGAGGGAATGTAGAAGAAACGTGTTGGAGGAAAGAAACGACATGCAGGGAAGAAGTGCTTTGGCGATGTTGTGGAAGAAACGTGTAAATAGCGTCTTGAAGGTAACGTCATGAAGAAGAAAAACCGTATACAAACGTCTTAAAGAAATCGTGGAAGAAAAAATCGTGGAAGAAAAAACACGTGTTATATATATATATATATATATATATATATATATATATATATATATATATATATATATATATATATATATATATATATATATATGTATATATATATGTATATATAATATATATAATATATATATATATATATATATATATATATATATATATATATATATATATATATATATATATATATATATATATATATAATATATATATATATATATATATATATATATATATATATATATATATATATATATATATATATATATATATATATATATATATATATATATATATATATATATATATATATACAATGTATATGTATATATATATGTTATATATATAACAATATATGTATGTGTATATATATCTATTTGATATCTAGTAGAAGTAAAAGATGAGCCGCAAGCTGAAATTTTTAAACGGAGTTCCTGAATAAACAAAACACCACAATATGATTAACAGATAAATCTCCAGTATGGTTTGGTTGGAGTATCATGAGAGTCTGCCTTTCCAAAACTGGCAGGGAGAAGGGGGGGGAGCAGGGTACCATTAGTAATACCCCTGGCCAAGCGGAATGGAAGGGGCGAAAGGGAATCAACCTTCCGGGGTTTTAGAGAAAATCTGACCGCGTTACAGACCGATTCCAAAAGATTTGATCAAGTGGCAGGAAGCTTGAGTGTGGGTCGTCGAAGAACAGACGGTCTTTAGCTTATCATTCCCCCCAAGCTGCTGTATAAGGCCTTATCTTGTTTGGCTCGTTATATGTATGTCCCATTTACATTTTTTTTTCTTTTTTTTTATATATATTGTCCTTATTCAATTACATATGTCTTTCAGTAGGAAATGAAATCAGAAACGGTTTATATTAATATCAAAAATCGGTTCATTGAGTTTGGATTCCTTTCAAAACTAACAAGAATAAAAGACATATTTGCTGATGAAAAGAAATGCATGCATAATGCGGGCTTGCGTCTGTGTGTGTGTGTGTGTGTGTGTGTGTGTGTGTGTGTGTGTGTGTGGTGTGTGTGTGTGTGTGTGTGTGTGTGTGTGTGTGTGTGTGTGTGTGTGTGCGTGCATGCATATTCCCATGTCTGTGTGCATACTAGAGCGCATTTCCATGTCAGTCTTTCTGATTTCTTCTTGTAAATCAACCAAAAAAAAAAAAAAAAAAAAAAAAAAAAAAAAAAGTCTCGCCTTCATATGCAAATGAAGCCATTAGCAAACGTCTGGAAAATTCTCCCTTTGGCGCATTCGACTCCCGCCGCGAAACGGACATTTCCACCGCGCATGGGAAATTTGAGATAGATGCAGATAGATAGATAGATAGATTAAGGGAGAGACAGACAGACGAAGGGACACACACACGCACATAACTTTTGCGTATCGTGTAGTTTATAAACCATATTTGCTGTTTATTAGATAGTATAAAATTCCACCACTTTCCTGTTTTTTTTTTTTTTCATATAATTGATTTTTCATTTTTTAAATCTTTTTCTTATGCTTTTGTTTATGTACTTATTAATTCCCTTTTCTTTGTTTATTTTCTGATTTTGATTTCTTCTCTCTTTCTTTAGATTGATTTTCATGTGTATTTCAATTTTCTCTTTTTGCCTGATCTTAATGTCTATCATAATGTATATTTTTTTTGTTTTTATCTTTTTCTTTCGTTTCTTTCTACCCCCCCCCCCCCCGGCCGCTTTTGATTTCCATGTTTTCGTATTTCCCCTTCTTCTTTTATTTAATTTCTCTTCCTTTGCTATTCTTTTCAGGCTAGTCTTTCAGTTTCCTTTTTTTTATTGCGTTTCCTTCTTCCTTTCACCTTTCACCTTTCGTGTTCTTTCGTTAATCCAGTCACGTTTATTTTTTTTCTTTTTTGGGGGCACACCTCTTCC